ATTGCTGAAACGCTTCTTTTGTTCAGTGTATTTTACCCCACCTCCGCCCTGCTGACTATTGACCAAACAATTCAGAACTGTGGTGACTACATCAGTTTGCCAGTTGTTAACATTGCGAGGAAGACAAGGAGAAGAAAAAACACGATCATTAAGTAGTTATTATGACCATAAATTTTGGTTTTGAGTGACTTTGTGGAATGAAATCAAACTTGGTAAGAATAAAACTGAGCCCTAACAGGATTTGATAATAGATCTCCTCTTTCAAAGCGCGCGTATGTCACTGCTTACTTTATAGCTGAGAAAATTACTTCATTGTGATTGGCTGAGAGCAGGCCAATTTTTCGTTCACTCTTAATTTGCACTGCAGTGCAAATTAACGCGCACGCGTTCGCAATTTTCTTAGTCATAATAAACGAGTAATCGAACGAAAGCTCGAGAAATTAAGGATTTACAATATTCATGATATTTGGAAATTCTTTTAAGTTGCACTCTCTTATGAGTTCGTGCAATTTTGAGAGAGGTTTGAAATACCATTCGTACTGTCAATCCTTAATTGCACTCGCATTCATACAATTACCTACACTAATTTTAAGTCCTAGTTTGAGATTGTTATCGAAAAACAACCTTGTCATGCTGTTAACTCTAGCCCTAACCCTAACCTTATGCAAACGTGGCTTCCCTCCCCCCACCCAGTGTGAAATAAATATGCCAATACTTGCTACCAAAAATGAACTTATGTAATTTTTATTGCTTTATAGAATTTCTTGATGATTTATCCGATTTTTTTCGTTAACTTGCATTGTAAACAGACGTGAGGGTGATGACCTGTACTGGAAAATCTGCAGAGGGAAAGGAAAACATTCGGTAAGGTTAATTGTTCTGAAAGACTTGGAAAATTAAATTATCCGAACTCCGTTCTAGGAGTCTGAGAATTCTAACTCGCTGTTCTAGCTAACAATGACTCTAAAACACATGCTTCGTATCTGATAAAGGAGCAACCTTTGCATTAATTAACAATTAGACCATGACCATTGTAGATTCGTTGATTGTCTTTTCTTCTTCTAGAAAACATCCACGTCAATTTATCAGCGTCGTTGTCGGTCTCCGCAAATTCGAGAATTCTGTCATATTCTATGAAAACCATGAGCAATAATCGTGTTATGGTTAATATTATACAGGTAATTCTATGACTAATTTCATTCACCTCTTCAGTTCTCGAGTTTGCTCACAAAGCACTTTGATTTAGTTATCGGCCGAAAGCTCCCATAAGAAGTTATTCTTCCTTACCTTGTTGATCCACTTGCCATGATTTGCCAGTGCCTCCAGTCTTTGAGATTGAAGTGAGACTAAAACAACGACAAAAATAAACACTAACAGCTTCTTGTGAGACATTTTCGCGAAAACCTGGTCACTTTACAATTCTTCCGGCAATCAAAAGATGTACTTACTCCTCAGCCCTTACAGCCAGCATTGCTCAGTAGCACTCGATCAGTAGTTTTTCATTTTTATTTTCTTGCATCTTGTCGTTAAGATCTTACTGTTGTTTTTTTTTCTTCCCGACCAATCAAACGAAGTGAGACCAAAGTTATAGCCGACCCGTTAAGCTTCGTTGATCGGGTCAATCAACACAGAAAACCAACAGAATGATTTTCACGGAAAATGAACCGCAGGTAATTTAGTGGAACTTGTGAGCCGCGTGTTGCGCTTCCTGCCAGAGCAATTTGCTCAATATTGTGTTTGCTTTTATGATGTGGGAACTACTTAGATACTCTGCCCGGAATTCTCAGCTTAAAATTCCATATGTCATTAGAAACGTTTCTCGTAATAAAAGTTTTTCAAGTTAGATTTTTAGTTAGGTTCAAGTTAGAATACTTAATCCTTTCCATTGATTCACAAGAGTAACAGTGATAGAACCCGGTCATGGCAATTTGTATCATTGGCAATATTGCCTCAACGGAAATACCTCTAGAAAAAAAAAATTGAAAGGTAAATAGTGATGTGTGTATAGGGGAGACTTTTTATCGTCGAGTTTTTGCTTCGAGGTTTTAAACAATATTAGTCTTTATATTGAAATTTTTAGCCGGATAGAAACATTCCAAGTTAGAAATGAAACGGTCGAAGAAATTTCCATAGCCAGAAAAAACATTATGACTGAGGCAATGTTTAAACTTAAATTCTCTTCCTAGGTATTTAGGGTGTTTATGGGGCTATGAACAACAAAAAACAAAAACGGAAACAAATGAATGAGGTATAAACAGTGATACATAAACATATGCTACTATTGAAAGAAATGAGAGAAATGCTACCTTCTGAAAAGTATGCTAAAGCAATTTTTGGAACCCCCCAAAGCTTAGTGATATTTCTATGAAATTTTCGTAGATTTCTCATATATGCAGACAGTATTTTAAGTCGGAATTCTTAACTACTTGTGGTTTTTAGAGAAGCAGTTGTAATTGTGTAACTACTCAAGTAGGTTTATCTTGGCACAAGCACGCTTCCGACGAGTTAGGACTGTACAAATAAACCGATCATCTCTGTACATGTCATCGAGTTTTGTTTTTGAAACGAAAAATTATTACTGTAGAGTTCCGACACATTGAAATGATAATTTTTGAAATAATAATTCTTTTCATGCAAGAACTGTTCAGTTAGCTAAAACGTGAGCAATAACTCCTCTTTTGACCTATGCGAGAGCCTTCTCGGGCCGTCATTTTAATGTAACGTAGCGCATGAACTTGGAAATTTAAACGTTTTCTATAACAAAATATACCCTTAGATTGCTTACGCAATCTCGGGTTAATGAGAAACCCTGTCGATCTCAAACGTTGTGAAACGTCAAGCTCTTAGAGGGTCTTAAATCTGATGAAGCTTAAACTTCAGAAGGATTGGTAATTTAAAATTTCGGAAAGTGATGACGTCACATGAAAACAGGCAATAGGATCTCACCCCGGTACCCTCGGTAGGTCTCTCCCCTCATCCCCATCAAGAGGTTGAAGGAGAGCTTGCTTACCACGCCGAAACACGTTATCTGCTTCTACCATGTCTGCGTCGTTCGTCATGGCTGTAAAAAATATTCCAATAAAGTCATGAGTACTTACATGCATGACTTATATCCCAAGAGATTATCAAGGGAAGAGACTGAATCCCCCATATAGGCCTTATACCAAGGTAACCCCTCTTAAATTATTTTTAGACATAGTACCCAGTTTGTCCGCGTAAGTTACTCGCGCGTTGCGTGGATGTTTTTGTAGAGGATTTGTTTATGTGTCCCTTCTTTTCAAAGCGAAGGAAAAATAATCTCCAAAGCTGTGGGGATGCCTTTTCTCTTATATAAATATCAAAGAAGTAAAAAAGTGTATATATTACAGCTTCAAAACAAAAAAATGACTGACTATTCATTGAGTGGTGCATCATCAGAACTGCAGCCGAGAGCAAGCAGAGAAGCTGTTTTGTATTCATGCTCTGTGGGACAACCTTCTTCAGTGACTTGCACAAAGACAAACTTTAGCTCAAAATATCCCCTTTAACCGGAGGCATTTATACTCACAGAACGTAGTCAATCTGTTATCATCTGTTACTGTTCTGTGGTGGTTCTTTAAACCCGTAATCATTCAATTTACTCATTTTCTAAATTTGTGGGTATGTGTTATCAGCAACCTAAAGAGAAATCCTCATTTTGTGACCTTTTATTTAGCCTGCGTAGCAGGCGTATAAAAGGAAAGGGGTGAGGGAGGAGGAAGGGAATTCGGGAAAAAAAATGGAGGAGTGGGAGGGGGGAGGGGAAAAGGAACGCGTTCCCTTTCCCGAATTCCCTTCCTCCTTCCCCACCCCCTCCCCTTTATACGCCTGCTACGCTAGCTACCTTTTATTGAACTGCACTCTGTTGAAAAAGCCAAACACTGTTTTGGGTGAAGACAAATGCCACTGCGCATTTGTGTAAAGGGTCATTGCAAAGTATGAATTTGCCCACAGGTAGAATATTATCTCAATAAATTTTAAAAATCGTGATTGAAGAATTATCACATGTGGTTAGCTGATAGTGGAAAACAGACATAATTACACTGTAGGATTCATGGCATTAAGAGAAAATATGAGTTCTTGTACTTCCTGTCAAGATTCGATATTTACACTAGTTGCTATCATAGCTAACTTATTTGAGATAACACGAAGAAGCTGACTGTTAGGACCACGGAATTGTAATGTATTAGATGTAATCTGGTGTCGGGAATAGCATTGCCTAATTCCACGTATGACACCTTTTCAGACATTAACAGCGACCAACAGGTTAATTGTAAGCCCAGCATTCTAATGCCGTTAAATGAATTAATAGCTTTACATTTGATGAACTGTGCAACATACCTTTCCAAAAGTGAAACTTTTGTTATTTTTGTCAGGCACTGTTTAAATGTGATGGTTGTAGCATCAATCGATAAAGAATGGTTATAACGACCAATCAAAATCTAAGTGCTGGAAACTGTTTTGAGCCACCTTTAGTGTGTAACCCATAAATTAGTAAGGTGAGGTAAAAACTTTATTTAAATTTTACCAGATCAGCTTGGTGAAACATGGAGAAATCCTCCTAATGTCGAGCACCTCTATGAAAAGATTCTGGGTAAATGTTTCATTTTTCGTGCCCTTTTATACTCCAATAACTGAACAGCTAGCAGAGGATTGAACGATCGATTGTGTTATTTATAACCTCACCATTCTGAAACTGACTTCTAGGCCAGCCGGAAGTAACTTTCATTATTTCATTGTTTACCTTCTTTCGTACCTTTAAAAACTGAGAGCCCCCTTATACATCAAAGAGGGAAATGTTACCGACATCTAGATTGTAATTACAGAGAAATATTGGAAATAGGAAATGCATCGAGTGAATGAGTCACCACCAACTCTTTTAAGCGCCTTTTGTCTTCTGTTTGAGATAAAACTATGAAAATACGTATTTTAACACATTTATCGAATCTACGTTTTGGGAAAGAACAAAACAACACAACTCATGAACGGTATGTACACCTGAAATTTATTTCAGCAGTTTACACAGTGAATAGTGTATCATACGTACCGCGATTAATAGTAAACATAATTATCAAGTACTACGCAATGTTTGCCATAATTTTAGCGGCTATTCTATTCTAAGCTGGAACATGTACAAACTATAGAGGCATTCCCCCAATCTAAAGCTCAACTTATAATCTCGCATACATCACCAAGGCTGATAACTGCAAAACAGAAACATAGATTCATTAGTAAAATGAGTTAGGAGCCACTAGTCGTGGTCTAATTATCAAATAGAACGTGGTGTATGTTCGCTAAGAAAATAAAACACACTAGAGGTCTAGAAAAACTGCTAGTGGACGCACGAGCGAAATGCGAGTGCATTCAGCAAGTTTTAGACCTCAAAAGTACATCATATTTTGTTATTCGCTCATAGAAAACATGGGATGGTTGTCTAATTGTTTTGGTAGACACTCAAGACTTGCATTCCGAAACCTACAATTCTATGTATTTTTAAAAGATATAATCTTCCCCTTTTGGCGAGTGGCCAACAATGTGAGGCCAAATCGGCTCCGCCGATTTCCAGAATAAGGCACTTATTATTGACAGGAATATCGTGAAGCGTGGATAATAACTTTCTTTTACTACTAACTGGGAGCTTAATTTGCACGTGCTGGTATCACGTTTCGCATAATATGGTCAATCGAACTATTAGGCGGGCTAACCTTGAATCGGACCTCCACAAATTATTGCCATATTTGAAGCAAAGCAAATTGCCGAGAAAAAGCCCCTCAAATAAATTGTTTTCAAAATCAGACAAACAATAACTTCATGCAGAACTCTTCAATTTAAACTCTAATCCCGAGGGCTTTAATAGGTGGAATAGTGAGTCGATGAGTCGATCAGTCCGTACGTACGCGAGTCCATGAGTCCGTGAATCCATTAATCCGTGAGTCCTTGAATCCGTGAATTCGTGAGTCCGTGAGTCCGTGAGTCTGTCAGTCCGTCAGTCCTTAAGTCCATCAGTAAGTCAGTCCGTTAGTCTGTCAATCCATCAATTCGTCAATCCGTCAGTCCGTTGGTCGGTCAGACTGTCAATACGTCCATCCATCTTGTAGAATGTCAGAGACAGTCACTTAGTCAGCCAGTTTTTAAGTTAGCATTTTAATGAAGTCATATCAATTTCGTTTTCTAGTTTGCACTCATGCTTATCTGCGTGGACATAAATATAGCAAGTAATAAAGGAAGTATCTCGTACGTGCGCTTTGGAAACAAACCTGTAACCAATTTGTAGATCATTTTTCCCTTAGCATTCTTGACAGGTCGACCTGCACTTTCTGGCCGTTAACCTGCCTCTGTGACTGCTTGAATGGCACCAACTCCTGGCCCGTTCGCAAAAGTTTGCGGAGAAATAGTTAGCACATGCTGACGAATAAAAAAAAAAAATAATAAGATTAGATGTATATAGCGCGAAAATTATAAAATATTCTAAAGCGCTTTACAACTTAGATGTAAGATTACGATTACATCAACAAAATAAGAAAAAGGTATTTAAAAATAACACAGTTTGAAAACCATATTATAAGACTATGGCATGCTATACGCTAATTTGTCATCGTGTCTACTAAAAAAAGTAAGTTTTTAACTTTGATTTAAAAACAGGTAGGGTTGGAGAGAAAAGGTCCAGAGTGTGCAAAGGGGCGATCACCAAATGTCCTGTGTTTGGTTCTGAGGACAGCGAGGAGGTTATGGTCTTGGGAGCGCAGGCGGTAAGTTGTGTTAGTCTTTATGAGTAAGAAAGGATACCAGGTATTGAGAACCGAAAAATGCTTCAGTGTAAGGAATTAGGCCTTAGCAAAGATTTTATCATTTGATGTATAGAAATGCTTCAGCCACTGAGAGTAAGAATTGCTTTCGATTTAGATTCGTATATACTTCTAAATATTTCATTGTTATGACGGCCGCTAAACACGTGTTTTTTTCAGTTTTCTCAAGCAAAAGCTAAGTGGAATTTTTAATTACCGTTGAGGAAATTGCGCAATTGAACTTAAGCTACTCTTAGCAAGAGGATCAGAATATGATAATGATGACGATGGTGTGATGACGATGATGACGACTCAGATCATAATGATATGATTGGTTCGTTGGTGAACCAATTGTGAAACCATGTGCATGTTGGAGTTGGCGGGATGTTAATTGTATGATCACCAAGACATCCGATTGCTTTTAGAAGACTTTGCTTGCAATCAACTACAAAGGCCGTCTTGATCTAACAGTGAACCAAGAGACACTCCGTGCCCAATCGTAACGCCAATAAGTTCTTTTTTTTCAGATAAATATTTAAAACCAAGTCGTTCATCGTTGGTAGTTTCGCGAGGAAAGCAATGTAAATCGAAAATTTGAAATCAATTATTTAGCTGTCGAATGTACCACAAGCACAAGATTGTTGAACTTGTAAAATAAACGATCCCGGATTAGTACAGCAATTAAAACGAGGAGAGTTTGGGAAAAAATAGAATTTTGTGGTCAAACGAAACAGAAAACTGAAACAGCTCCCTGCGATGTTTAAATTATTCGGTACTACACAGGTATGTCAAGTACTTACTTTGAGAAGCCTCAAACAACTCACTCTTTACAAAATGTAACATGAAATGATTCTTAATCCTTAACAAATTTGAGGAAAAACTGTGGAAAGTGAAAATTCTCAGTTTTCATTTGACTACTAGATAAGAAACTGATTAATGTTTAATTTCATCAACTTTTAACCACAAATTTGTCAATGCATTATTTTGCATGGTACTTAACAGGTGCGATTCCATCCGACAATTCTCGCATTAATTGTTGTGCTGGATGCGGTGAATTCAGTGATAAAATTCGTTCTTTTTTCGTTCTTACCTCTCTTCTCCTGGGCGTCGTCTTTTACATCGTCGTGCTTGAACATTGAGGCATCGAACTCATCTAGGTCATCGGTGTCCTCTGCTAACATTTTAATATCATCGTCTAACAGTGGAAAAGCCGACAGAACAAGAAGTTAGTTAATCCTCTATCTCTTACTTCCGCTACTGTTTTTGTTCCATACTTTTTTCCCCTTTGCTTCGATCTTTAAAATCAATTCAACTGAAAACGTTATTCAAGGGTTAAACTCCATGTATGCTTAAAGGACACGACCAAACTATTATTTCTAGTTTATATATAAAACGACAGCTTGTAAAAAAACCACCTATGGCGACTGATCATGTTTCTCAAAAAACAAGTGATGCATAGTCAAGAACATTAGTCAAGTGAAATAAAATTTGTTTTGATTTTATCCTACCGTCAAGACCGTCAAATAAGGACGCCGCAGAAGTATTTTGGAACTTCATGAATATCACCATAGTTCCAAGAAGGAAAATTAACACCTTGATAGAAGACATTTTTTCCCAGTTGATCAAGCGTTGCTCAGTGAGATCGTCTTCTGGCGAGGTAGCGACTTAAGTGATTCTGTCAGGAAATGTTCTTTTGTAATATATCGCGCAAATATTTTTGTATAATCAAAATATCAATATGTTTTCAGCTGGCTTTGACCACTAGAAAAGTAGGATAAAACCATATGAGATTTTCATCACTCAACTCTCTCGCATTCTGTGATGTCTGGGTCGCTGGGTGATAAATATCATATCCCACAGCAACCCAGCCAATGTGATTTGGTTTTGATCATTCACGTCATAAAGTTTCATCTGGTTTCTTTCAATTTGGGCGCTTTTCAATTACTCATTAAAATTGTTTTCACATCCGGGCTGGCGCTTGCAAGTCGGACGACTGATTATACAAACTTTTAGTGCCCCTAACGCCCGAAATAAGTTAAGTCGGAACTTGCTATTCCGAACTGAAAAAAGAACAAATGCCTTTTTAATCTGACAGGCTTATCTTCGAGGAAGGTTTGGCTTATATATTCTCTAATAAGTTTGTCATGCATATTTCATCTGGGTTTTTCTAGGTCAGACAATTAAAGAAATCCTTTAATTTTCAAACACAATTTCTTAACTTTGTTGCTTCTCGCAGATTCTACGACGTTGCAATAAAATATTATCTAGTGCCTCTTACTCAATCGCTAAATTTGATCCATAAATGAGCAAGCTCGAATGTTTATTAACACTGGATGAAAAAAAATTTTGCATAAGCATTGATAAAAAATAGCTCGTGGTCCTGTGGCGAAATCGCAGATAATATTTGTTTTCTTCATTTTCATGCAGAGCTTAACTCCGAAGCTCAAGAAAGGCAGCTACTTTGATTAATTGGTCTCAACGTGGGATTTTATCGTAAACGAAATTGACAAAAATACATAATACTTTTTTCTCTTTTGAAAACGGAAATGGCTTAAATTTAAGCAATTGTTGCTAAAAACATGTTTTTGAAGAATCGTGCCGATTTGTGGTAAATAAATGTGTGAATTGTCGACTACGAATAAATATTTATCCAAGATGATTTGAGCACACCGCAAAGAGTGGGCAGCAGGGCTAGAGGCGCCTCAATAAAGCCGAAACGAGAAATTAATCGAGATATACCACATCCATCAGATGGCTTTTGAAAATACAAAACTGCAAAAGAAAATTCTTTAGATGGCTTGAAAGGGTTTTTTCTGCGCTAATTTTTAGTGGGAATAAAATCAGCACTTTGCATCTTCAAATACAATTTTTGGGTTAATTTTCAGTTAGTTTAAATGAAATCAACACCTCGAGGCATTTGGCAGTCAAAGAGTGGGAAAATCGAGCTTCCTTAAGGTTTCAAAAAACTACTTTTGGTTGAAATGGCTTAATCGAGGCCTCCAGTCTTCTCTGTTGGTAATGCCAGGGAATTAGTTTGTCTAGAATTAAATTTGGGCATTCAAAACAAATAATATGGACTCTCTTCATTAAAAGGAAGGCTGACAACCGTATTTTTTTTAAATATGGCTGTCAGAGTAACAATATTTGTTTGACGAAGACAAGCCTCTTTACTAGACAAAACGTGGAAGTTTGAGATAATTAATTAACGTTGAAACTTATTCGTAAACATATAAAATCGCGATACAAGCATAATATATGTATAAAAAAACAGAGACTATTTTTAACAAAACAATTGAGCGGACAAGAGTGTTTCTCGCACGTCGAATTTGTGAAGATTAATTCACGGAACAAAACAAGCCGAATCAGTGAATTTACTATACACCTGTACTTTCCCACGGGTTGAGATCAGTCAAATACTGTTTATTCAGCCTGAAGTCCGTACTCTCAAAGTACTTAAGTACTGTTTTGAAGTCAACAGTTCCTCTACGCTAGTTTCGCTTTACAAGTGTGTTATTTTGATGAAAAGAGAAATAAAAGCACCAACAGAACTTAATAATATGTTTGAAGTACCGCGCTGTCTTGAGGCGAAAGTTAATTTCTTTTACGTCTTCGAATTGCTGGTTTCTGATTGGTTCTTGTGATGGAACGCTTTGCCCCTTTAATATTTTATAACACGGCGAAAGCCACATGTCTGTAACGCCAAGAAAAAAGAACTAAACGAGCATCTGTGAATGAAAGCACTATTTAATTTGTTATTCACATTTCTTGATATTGTTTTGGGTATACTCAAGAATTCCGCCCTTTCGTGTTTCTGCGGGTCTTAATTATTGGCAAATAAGTGGACACTAGTTAATTCAACTTTGTTTAAATTTCTCGAACGTTCTCAAAGATGACTCTCGGAGTGAAGTTTAAAGTAATTTTATCAAGGGTAAAACCTTCTTCACATGCATTCGCCCCCTGGGCGTTCGCACTTTGAGCTTTTGGAAGCAATATACAGTTCTTTATTACAAATGTAACAATCAGCTCAAATGCACGGAAATTTTCATCAAGTAATTGCTCGCTGATTTTGATTACAGAGAACATTATACTTTTTACATACTTTTTACTGTGGGAAAATTACGACGAGACTTTCATAAAAGAGAATTTAAACAAAAATTTCCTACTGATAACTTTTGCCCAAAGGGCCTTTTAGTCGATTTCAACATTCCGTAGGGCAATTGTTTCATTTGAAAAATTATTTACCTCGATCATTGCGAATGTGTAGTTTGCAACCGCCATTTCGCTCTCACACTGCGAGTGACGTGTTTTTACAAAACTCTCTTCCAATCTTGAGATGGGGAACAGTGCTGCAACATTAAGCGTGACTAATCAATTTATTTTGGCGGAACCACTTTGAGATCTTAGCTATTGTATTATCACGCCATGATCCAATTTACGACATGGTGTTAGGAGTCACTCTATGATGAATAGAGATTTCTACATAGATTGATTTTCTGAGTAATCAGTATTTCCAAAATAGATCTCGACGACTATGGTGAGCCGCCCACGATGTTTGGCGGATGTGCTTAAAAATGATTTTTTTAAAGGCTTTTCTTCTTTTTGGTCTGTAAATAATACACCCATAACAGTGAAAGATGTTTTAAAACCTTTTTACCCGTTATGTCTGGCAGCTAAAATAGTGGTTTTAAAAATTCATGTAATTCTACTCAGAATGGATGTGTTTAGCAATCGGCCAAATTGTTCAAAAGCAATTATTAATAATAGTAAAAGTAGCATCGAATTAACTTCTTCTTTTCGTAATCAGAATCATATTTACTGGTAGTGCGTCGATTCAGACACGTCTCAAGGAAATGAATTAGTTGTGGTGGTGAGTGGGGGAATGGTATTCACACTTGCAAGAAGCATTTCCGTCCCTTTTATGACTGAGTTTCCTCCCTGATGGGATTAGATTAATATGACGTATCCCTTCATTTGGCCTTGAACATGCTCGTCGTTTCAGTTCACCGTAATTTCAGATGTTTCTCGATCACGAACTGTTCTCGATCATTTACAGTTGCTTTCAAATACCTCCCAAAATATTAAAATAAAAGGAGTAGGGGCGTTGCTATAGATACCACTTATCAGCTAAGTCACAGGTACCCTAGGGGTGCAGTTCCCCGTTGTACTCCTGTCCTCTGTTGTTTAAAGGGCGACAACGCTATCTAACGGATGAATTACTAGCCATTTGTACTGATAGCATAGTTTATTTTGCCAACCCTTAATTCACAGCGATTTATCGGATGGATAGAGTTATCTACCCTTTGAACCACTCGCCATTCATCGGATAAGTGTTGATAAAACAAGCTACCCAGTGGATAAGTGTTAATGCAATAATNTTTACCCGTTATGTCTGGCAGCTAAAATAGTGGTTTTAAAAATTCATGTAATTCTACTCAGAATGGATGTGTTTAGCAATCGGCCAAATTGTTCAAAAGCAATTATTAATAATAGTAAAAATAGCATCGAATTAACTTCTTTTCGTAATCAGAATCATATTTACTGGTGTTGCTTCGATTCAGACACGTCTCAAGGAAATGAATTAGTTGTGGTGGTGATTGGGGGGATGGTATTCACACTTGCAAGAAGCATTTCCGTCCCTTTTATGACTGAGTTTCCTCCCTGATAGGATTAGATTAATATGACGTACCCCTTCATTTGGCCTTGAACATGCTCGTCGTTTCAGTTCTCCGTAATTTCAGATGTTTCTCGATCAGGAACTGTTCTCGATCATTTACAGTTGCTTTCAAATACCTCCCAAAATATTGAAATAAAAGGGGTAGGGGCGTTGCTATAGATACCACTTATCAGCTAAGTCACAGGTACCCTAGGGGTGCAGTTCCCCGTTGNTGTATAATCAAAATATCAATATGTTTTCAGCTGGCTTTGACCACTAGAAAAGTAGGATAAAACCATATGAGATTTTCATCACTCAACTCTCTCGCATTCTGTGATGTCTGGGTCGCTGGGTGATAAATATCATATCCCACAGCAACCCAGCCAATGTGATTTGGTTTTGATCATTCACGTCATAAAGTTTCATCTGGTTTCTTTCAATTTGGGCGCTTTTCAATTACTCATTAAAATTGTTTTCACATCCGGGCTGGCGCTTGCAAGTCGGACGACTGATTATACAAACTTTTAGTGCCCCTAACGCCCGAAATAAGTTAAGTCGGAACTTGCTATTCCGAACTGAAAAAAGAACAAATGCCTTTTTAATCTGACAGGCTTATCTTCGAGGAAGGTTTGGCTTATATATTCTCTAATAAGTTTGTCATGCATATTTCATCTGGGTTTTTCTAGGTCAGACAATTAAAGAAATCCTTTAATTTTCAAACACAATTTCTTAACTTTGTTGCTTCTCGCAGATTCTACGACGTTGCAATAAAATATTATCTAGTGCCTCTTACTCAATCGCTAAATTTGATCCATAAATGAGCAAGCTCGAATGTTTATTAACACTGGATGAAAAAAAATTTTGCATAAGCATTGATAAAAAATAGCTCGTGGTCCTGTGGCGAAATCGCAGATAATATTTGTTTTCTTCATTTTCATGCAGAGCTTAACTCCGAAGCTCAAGAAAGGCAGCTACTTTGATTAATTGGTCTCAACGTGGGATTTTATCGTAAACGAAATTGACAAAAATACATAATACTTTTTTCTCTTTTGAAAACGGAAATGGCTTAAATTTAAGCAATTGTTGCTAAAAACATGTTTTTGAAGAATCGTGCCGATTTGTGGTAAATAAATGTGTGA